TTACATTGTAGTCTTAAATTGTTTTGTGTTAGAAATGCAATGTAATTTAATTTTTTTTTCAATTCATATATATATATACATATATAAATAAAAAAATGATTGTGGTAATAAATTTATATTATTTTTGTATTATAATTATAAATAATTAACTTTTCACAATACGTGGATGTGTATTTTCGAAGCATTGCATAAAATTTAAAATTATTAAAAGATTTATTTTTTCATATTTTTTAATATTTTATCCAGCTGACATGCAGACTATGTGATATCTTTCTTCAAATTTCATTTTTGATTTTATATCTTCATCTCATTGTTAAATTTTCGACATAATTTATTTTTTCATGTAATGCAAATATTAATTCATTCATGGAAATAATGTTAAAAAGTTAAAATTTTTTTTTAAACAATTTTTTCTTATGTAACCGGTAGTTAATCTTAATTTTCAAAATATTTACAAAAAAAGAATATAATTATTTATATATTAGAATTTCATTTATAGTATAGTGCAATGTCCGTGGGAATGTATATAAGCGCGTGTAAGCAGGCGACTGCCATTTATCTTTTGTTAATATAAACACATCATAGCATAGCAGACTAAGACGTATAACAAGTAGACCAAAAAAGATAATTAATACGTATAATGAGAAATTACTTTCTTATAAATTGTAATTCATTTCAAATATCTCGATTTCAATATATACCAAATATGGACATTTTGTTTTTAGAATTTATTACACTTTATCATCACAAATATTGTTAATATTTATTTATAAATGGGCATTCTATGAATTCGCGAAATATAAAAATAAAATGTAAAACAATACTATAAAAACGATATATCAAACGACCAAAATTACAATGATTAAAATTACAATCATAATCAGTTTCGTAATTAGTATCTATTATTGTAATATCAATCATTATAATTTCGATCGCTTAAGAGTTGTTTTATATTTTTTTTTAAATTCTGCGGATTCGAAAAAAGATAAATATGAAATGATTAGCTATTATATAATTTGAATATTATCCTTTATGATGTTTATACAATGTAAATAAATTGCATTTTGATATATATTTTTTCATATATATATATATGAAAAATTATATATTATATAAAAATAAAAATATATATATATATAATATATATAAACATATATACATATTTATAAACATATGAAAAAGTTTAAAATCTTGTTCTCTATAATATATTTAAATTTTCGAAATTGGGAAAAAAATAGTTTTTTTTGCAATTTCACTTTTGATTTTATAAAATTAATAAATCAATAACAAATAATAATTTGGATAAGGTATTGAATAATTAAAATTTAGACGAGCTAAAGAAATAGGAATAGATTCAGAATATAAAATTTTAATTTTAAGTATTTATTCTGAGATGTTAAAAAAAAAATTCGGTGTTATAACATTGATAATACTACATATTAAAAAATTTCAAATTTGCTTTTATTAAATTCAAGATTTTTATATTTTTATTTTTATTATATAAAAAACCAATAACTAATTAATAATTATATGTGATAATAATATCTTTATTTAATATTTTCAAAAATGTAAATTTTAATTAAAAAGTCTTTTCTGAAATTTATATTTTTAAATTATGCTATTTTCAATGTTAAGCGATATATTGAATTTTGTCTTTTATGTTATTATTATATTATTATGATTATATAACTTTTTATATAAGAATTAGAAATACAAAATATTTGATTGACATATGTTTTTACGCCAAAAGCATGCTTAAATATACAGATAGTCTTTATCTTGAAAAAATCTAGCCTAATCTAAACAATTCTTTTTTCCATTAAGCAACATTAACCTGTGACTGTCTACAAATACAAACAGATATAAACAGATTTTAATGTCTGGTATTAAAAGTTTTTTTATTAATAATAAAAATTAATATTTCAGAAACTAATAAATGTTCGAAATTGAAAAATTAAATTTAATAAATTCTATATACATTTACTCATGACATGTTTTAAAATTCATTTTGATGACTAGCGGTTTCAATTAGAACTATAATTTTTTTATAATATTATTTTAATATATAAGATATATATTACAATATATATATAGAATAATTTAAAATTTAGATTTAGATCCTCACGATTTTTGAGGCATACTTTCAATATTATAAAAAAATGTTTTGAATATAAAAATTATCAATTTTCAATAGGACACAAATTATATTATTAAGAATTTAAAAAAAAGTTTTATTTCAATGTAAAAATTTAAAGTTATTTTGACTTTTTTAAATGATAATATATATTTTTGTAAGATTTCAAGACATATTCAAATATAACAAATATTTACATTTTGAGTGAATATCTCAAACTATAAATATAATTATTTCTAAATTAATTATTAATCAATATTCTGTAAATATTATTGTTAAAATTTCAATTACTTAATAATATAATCAATAATCTCCTTATATTATATTACATTTTTATAATAATATAAAATATAAAAAGAATATTGTAAAATTCAAATAAGATTAAACTTATATTGAAACTAACGAAAAGTTAATATTACATAGTTAAATTACATTTATTTTTCTTTTCATTAAATAAGTCTGTACCTAACATATCTTACGTGCGCGTATGCGGAAACAACATGTCTAATAATAGGTGACACGTTTACCGTCGTCACTTATTCGGTAGCTTACTTATGACATATTTTGAAAGTAAGAGGATTAACATTATAAAGCATATTTTAATTATCGAATATTTTAGAAAAAAACTATTGTATTTCGTTTAAGCGTATTTCTTAAATTTTTTTGAAAATTTATTCGTTATATTTACAAATATTAAAAAATATTTAAAAAGAATATTGATGAAAATATTTTATTTTCAAAAGAAACGACATTTATTTTTCATTTTTGATCATATAAGGATATTCATATAAGAATATTTCATGAAATATTATATAATACAGGAAGGAATATTATAATAATAGTTTTATTCTGTTTTTCTTATCAATTTAAATTTTATATAAACGATTATTTTGTTATAAATGATCATATTATTTTAAAAAATTATTTATTTATTATTATATTAAAACGAACATATTATTATATATATTTACAGGCAATACATATATACATACGCTATAGAAAATACAAACTAAAATATATAGTTCTAAATGAAAATTTAACGAATTAAACAATTAATCGATAATATTTATTAATATATAAATAAATATATAAATTTAAATCATATGAAATTCTTATTAACTATAAAATAATAACAAATTCGATTTTGAATTTGAATTTGATTTATTAATGATTAATATAATGTTGATGTATGTTGATAAGAGATAAATATTATATAGGAAATGAAATTTTAAATAATATAGAGATATTTTGATATAGTCTAATGTAGTATATTCTGCAGTTGTTTATGGTTTCTTGAAGTTTTTTTAATATATTTTTTTATTAATTTATTATCTATATTTTTATTTCAAATCATATTTTTAATAATGTGTTTTAAAATAAAAATAAATTATATTTCATTATATTGTTACATTTTTATTTAAATAATCCCATAAATGTTTGAGTTAGATAAAATTGGAATTTGATGCAATTATACTAAGTTAATATTATTTGTTTTTTAAATTTTAATTATTTCAAATATTCATTTTTTCAATTAAATTTCTATTAAATTTTATAGAATATTTATAAATTCTTCTTGTATCAGTATACTTTCTATAAATTGTAAATTCCATATTTAAGTCATTGTCAAATATCATACTGACATTAAATTTTCATAGTTCGAATTTAATAATTAAGAGATTTAAAAATTTTCGTCTGCTCTTCTTTATACAAATTATTTTTTTTTATTTAAAAAAAATTCAAACTTCATATTGTATGATAAAAAAATTTTAATTTTAATTATCATCAAATAAAATATTTTCTAAAAGTTGTTTTAATAAATTATTTAAATTATAATTAAATATTAAATAATTATAAACATTAAGCTTACTAATGAAGAATATCTTTCTTGATAGTTGATTATGAAATTTTAATTCTTGTAAATACATAACGATTTGAATTTTTTTAATAAAAATAAATGATTCGAATCTTAATTTTTTTGTATCATATATAGTTTTATTATTATTCTGTAGATGTCTTTCTTATTTTCTGCAAACTCTTTGTTTTCTCTTTATTAATTTTTTAACATATTTTACAAACATATTAAAATATGATGCAATTTTTTTAAACTATCTCCCTTCGAAATTATTACTTTTATATTTAATCATTTTATTAAATATTATATTAAAATTATTATATCATTATATTAAATATTCATTATCTTTTTCCAAGTACTTTTTTTAGATTTAAAATTTTTTTTAATTTAAAAAATTTTTTTCATAGCTAATATTATGTAATAAACTAATCCTTCTAATTTCTCAAGAAAACTCAAATTTCGATTCAATTTTGAAATAGTTATTATATTTTAAAGGATAATTGAATATTTTTTACCAATAATAGAAATAATATAGAAATAGAATGAGATTGTACGGTTTCCGTTACGCATTCTGTTTTCATCTTGCTTCATCCAACTCGAACTTAAGATGTTTATAACTTAAATAAGCATCAGTTTATATCAACTTTTGAGTTTGCTTTGATTTCTAGAATCGATCGTTCAAAAATAGTATAATATGAATATTTTTTTAAGAAAATAAATTATAAAATAAAACTATTAATCAATTATGATTTTATATTGCATTGATAAATATTTACAAATAACTATATAAATATTTATAAAACACGATATTCATAATATAACTATTCTTAATTCTTGTTCTTAAAAATTAAAGTTTCCTCAAGAGTTTTTTGATATTACATTGCAAGAATTTATGATTATTTTTCTTTAAAAAATAATAAATTTAAAATTGACTAGTAAATATTAAATATAATATAATATAATAATAATAATAAATATTAAATAATAATGTAATTGCTTATTGTTTGTTTTCAGACATTCACATCGTAAGGATTATGGGAGTTAATTGTGGAATCGAATAAGGATTGATTTTATTGAAAAGGGAAATTTGCAGTGTGGAAAAACAAGTGAAATAGCAGTACAGTAGAATACGGAAAGAAAGAACTATACACATTGTTATTGAAAATTGATAAAGCTAATTAAAAGGACGGAAAAGGACTTAGGAACGAAAACAATTGAACAAGAAAAGGGTATTAAAAAGCAGGTGTATACATTTGTAGATCGTGTAATAAAAAGGGAGAGAGAGAGAGTGAAAAAGAAAAAAGCTCAGTGTCTGTAAATAAGAGTTATTTTTTCGTATGAGGGAAAAGGAGATACATCTACATCGAAACGAGGAGAAACGAGTGAGAAGACGTTTAGAAGTCCTTGAACTAAACAAGGTTCGGAGGACTTTCTCTCTCTCTCTCTCTCTCTCTCTTAGAAGGATATACGAAGAAAGTGATAAAACACTGGTGACAAAGAACAGGAAAAAAGCGAATGAAAGTGAAACAGATACAGTGTCAGAATTATTATTGAGCTTCTTTTCTATAACTTTCATTCAAAATCGATCGTGTTTCTTCCAATTCTAGAAGAATATCATTCACAAAAAGTGACTAATTTAAGTTTAAAAAGACTGATAAAAATTTTTACAAGCAAAGAAGCAAGAGAGAGAGAGAGAGAGAGAGAGAGAGAGAGAGAGAGAGAGATAGTGTGTGTAGTATAAGTAAA